GAGAGAGAGAGAGAGAGAGAGAGAGAGAGAGAGAGAGAGAGAGAGAGAGAGAGAGAGAGAAATCAGGCGCGGCGCCACTTTGTCAAAACGCCTCGATCGATAAGGCACCACGCTCCTTGCGCACACAGGGAGACTATCACTTTGTGAACGCAAAGGGAACGGGAGTGGCCGCAACTGCTTTTGGCCTGTTTCGATTTCAACCACGACAGGCTTCGAATTCAAACCACTACTCTGCTTGACGTTGGAAATTCGGGGGACCGGTAGCACAGGTCCATGAGGGCTACCAGTAGCCCAGAGTGGAGAACCGACAGAGTGGTGAATATGGAAAATGGGATGAATTTGCGCTATAAGCTATTTCGCGGTTGAGACAATTTTTTTAATTTTTTTAAACATTTTTTCTGAAAATATCATGACCAAATCTACGGACCCTCAAATTTTCAGACTTGTTTACGAGTTATTCTGAGCGTGAAAAAACTTTGAAATAGCGGTACTTGTCCCGTTGGCCCACAAGTTGTCGTGTGCCAAAAATGGAAAAAGTGACGAATTGGCGCGATATTTATTTCATGGTCTAAACGATTTTATTTTATTTTGTTGATATTTTTCCTGGCAAGATCACGACCTGGCCTACCCGATATCAAATTTTCAGATCTTGTCTCCAATTATTCTGCGTACGAAAAATCGCCAAAGTTGGCGCTCAAAAATTGCAAGATTGGACCCGCCTGCGCCTTTCAGTCGGCGCCCTCCCTAAATACCCGCCTAACTCACCACATGGCCTGCGTCCATGCCGTTTCAGATTCGAAATTTCAAGGCCCTAATGCCACGGGCAGCTACCGGTTCTGCACTTCCTTGAACTGCCTATTTCCCACGAATTGGACCCCCAGCAAATACACCACCCTTCCAACTACCACCCCGTTTGGTGACGACGACGAAAAATGTTCAATGTCTCAATGTTTCAGGGGCATAAAACGCACCCCGGACAGGCTGCGAACAAAGCATGGCAGTTTAGGGGGCGGAGGCATCTTATTTGAAACTGCAGGACCGGTAGCTTTTTTTTTTTTTTTTTTTTTTAATTAAAAGGGCCCAGTGCCCAAGGCTGATATTACCATGCAGGACCGGTAGCTGCCCGTGGGACCGCACGGGTTTTAGTCAAGGACCGCATAGGACCGATAGCTGGGCATAGGAGGCCGAGAAGGCCAGAGTCCCTTTTCGAAATTGAAACGGTGCGGGTCCACTTTTCTCAAATAGCAGAGTTCCTCGATTAAAAAACGCACGCGTTGTATTCGAATACAACCTGTACACTTTCTACTAGGATTTCGAAAAGAAAACACTCTTGTATTCCGATAAAATTACTTCTTTTTGTTGGAGGTCAGCGCCTGCCCTTGTGGTCCCCGCCACTGACATACTGCATGTTGCAGCTCTCTCTCTCTCTCTCTCTCTCTCTCTCTCTCTCTCTCTCTCTCTCTCTCTCTCTCTCTCTCTCTCTCT